TCATCCTCGCACCCCGTGCCATCCTCACCCTCGCACCCTATGCCTTCCTCATCCTTATACCCCGTCATCCTCATCCTCGCACCCCGTGCCATCTTCGCCCTTGTACCCCATGCCATCCTCATCCTCACACCCTGTGCCTTCCTCATCCTTACACCCCATGCCATCCTCATCCTCGTACCCTGGGCCTTCCTCATCCTTATACCCCATGTCATCTTCATCCTCGCACCCCGTGCCATCCTCACCCTCGCACCCTATGCCTTCCTCATCCTTATACCCCGTCATCCTCATCCTCGCACCCCGTGCCATCTTCGCCCTTGTACCCCATGCCATCCTCATCCTCACACCCTGTGCCTTCCTCATCCTTACACCCCATGCCATCCTCATCCTCGTACCCTGGGCCTTCCTCATCCTTATACCCCATGTCATCCTCATCCTTGCACCCCGTGCCATCCTCATCCTCACACCCTGTGCCTTCCTCATCCTTACACCCCATGCCATCCTCATCCTCGTACCCTGGGCCTTCCTCATCCTTATACCCCATGTCATCCTCATCCTTGCACCCCGTGCCATCCTCATCCTCACACCCTGTGCCTTCCTCATCCTTACACCCCATGCCATCCTCATCCTCGTACCCTGGGCCTTCCTCATCCTTATACCCCATGTCATCCTCATCCTTGCACCCCGTGCCATCCTCATCCTCACACCCTGTGCCTTCCTCATCCTTACACCCCATGCCATCCTCATCCTCGTACCCTGGGCCTTCCTCATCCTTATACCCCATGTCATCTTCATCCTCGCACCCCGTGCCATCCTCACCCTCGCACCCTATGCCTTCCTCATCCTTATACCCCGTCATCCTCATCCTCGCACCCCGTGCCATCTTCGCCCTTGTACCCCATGCCATCCTCATCCTCACACCCTGTGCCTTCCTCGTCCTTATACCCCATGTCATCCTCATCCTCGCATCCTGCTGGCATTCTCATCCTCACACCCCGTGCCATCCTCATCCTCACACCGTGTGCCTTCCTCATCCTTGCGCCTAGTGCCATCCTCATCCTCACATTCCGTGCCTTCGTAATCCCCGCACCCCGTGTAATCCTCATCCTTGCATCCCACTGGCATCCTCATCCTTGCACCTAGTGCCTTCCTCATCCTCATATCCCATGCCATCCTCATCCTCTCAACCCATACCTTCCTCATCCTCACATCCTGCTGGCATCTTCATCCATGTATTCCGTGCCTGCTTGCATCTTCATCTGCATATTCTATGCCTTCCTCATCCTCTCACCCCATGCCTTCCTCATCCTCACACCCCATGCCATCCTCGTCCTCACACCCCGTGCCTTCCTCATCCTCCCATCCTGCTGGCATCTTCATCCATGTATTCCGTGCCTGCTTGCATCTTCATCCACATATTCTATGCCTTCCTCATCCTCTCACCCCATGCCTTCCTCATCCTCACACCCCATGTCATCCTCGTCCTCACACCCAGTGCCTTCCTCATCCTCACATCCTGCTAGCATCTTCATCCTCAGACCCCATGCCATCCTCATCCTCACACCCCATGCCTTCCTCATCCTCACATCCCGCTGGCACCTCCATCTGCACATTCCATCCCTTCTTCATCCTCGCATCCCATGTCATCCTCATCCTCACACCCCATGCCTTCCTCATCCTCACACCCCATGCCATCCTCATCCTCACATCCTGTGCCTTCCTCATCCTCACACCCCATGCCTTCCTCATCCTTGCATCCCGCTGGCATCCTCATCTTCACATCCCAATGGCATCCATGGAAATCTCTCCATCCGATGGTGGCAGAGAGCCACCTCCTCCCCAAAATCCCCTCCAGGGACCCCTCAGTACTGCCGGGGGTCCCGGTGTCCCCACGGGAGCCGTCACTGTCACCGGCGTCCCACACAAGGGGGCTGAGACCTGGCAAACTCGCTCCTGAGCTGACTGAGCCGTTTGCAGAGGGGGCAAAGCTCCTTTTTCTCCAGCTTCTGGAAAAGCACGGAGCCATTTCCAGCTTCTGGGAAAGCACGGAGCTGGGCCCAGCCGGCAGGCCGGGAAAGCTCCTTCCTGCGGCGCAAATGAGCCGGGCCGGCTCCGTAAAGGCCTATGGAAAAGCGGGAGCGGTGGGAAGGCGCCGCTCGGACACCTCCTTGGTGGTGGGGAAGCCAAGGCCGGGGCCATCCTGCTGGCAGAGCCGAGCGGCTCCGGCTCCGGTTTTCCATCCCGCTTCCTGCGCGAGGAGCCGAGTGTTTAGACAGAGCCCGCGGAGATGGATGGATGGGGCGGATTAGGCAGCCTGGAGCGATAAGGGAGGCGAAGGGGAGGCGGGAAGTGGATCGTGGCGAGGCGGGAGAGCAGAGCAGAGCCCTGGAGAGCGCGGGGATCCCCAGAGCGCCGGCCGCACCGGAGGCTTTTGCGGAATCTCCGGGGCCATTGGGGTGTCTCCACGCTCGGGGTCTCTGGAGCACCTTGTGCCCAGGAGTTTTGGGATGTCTCCAAAGCCAGGAGCCCTTTGGAGCATCCTGGCGGACAAGGACTTTGGAGTTACTCCGTAGATAGGGTCTTCCTCAGATTTTTGCACCCAGGGCCCCTGGAGCATCTCCATATCCAGGGCCTGGGGGAGGTTCTCCCACCTAGACCCCTTGGAGCAGCTCCAAAGCCAGGGCCCTTGGAGCATCCCCATCTCCAAAGCCCTTGTAACATGTCCATACCCAAGGCCTTTGAAGCATCTCCAGGGCCATGGAAGCATCTCCACAGCCAAGGCCTTTGGGGCAACTCCATTCCTAGGAATTGTAGAGCCTCTCTGCATCCAGGGCGCTGGAAGCATCTCCTAACCTGGGGCCACTGGAGCACTCCAGGTCTTGGGGGGGTTGGGGCAACGAGGTCCTTGGAGCAGCCCTGCATCCCGACCCATCGGAGCATCTCCATCCGCACGGGTCATCGGAGCGGGAGGTCCCTGCGGGGAGGCCGGCGTCCCGCCGGAGCCGAGCGGGGAGCGAATTCCAGAGCACGGGGAGCCCATGTAGGGCTGTGAGCGCCGGGGCGGCCTCCTGACGCGCCCAGCTGCCGCAGGAAACCAGGCGGCTCTGCGCTCTCCGTGTCATGTACTTCCTAATCCGCCCGGATTCCGCGCTCGGAGCGCAGGGGAGCCGGCCGGCAGCTCCGCAGCCCTCGCTCCGCGCCGCGGCGCCGGCTCTCACCTGCCGTCCCGCTCCTTGCAGGATATGAGGAAGCACGTCATCATGACGCTGCTGGACACGGAGCAGTCCTACGTGGAGTCCCTGCGCACCTTGATGCAGGTAAGGCGGCGCCGGGCACGTTGGGGACGTTCCCCGTCTTGGGACAACGGGGACACGGCCACGGCGTGGGCCTCCTGCGAGGTGGCGCCGGCGGGGACCTTTGGGCGCGTTGAACATGGACCCCAAGGCTACCACGGGTGCCCATGGGGTGGGGAAGGTCTCCTTGTCCTCCCGAATCAACCCCATAATGGTTCCCAGCAGGATTTTAGCCGAACGCTCCCGCTTGGAGCGAGCTATGCTCTCCCCCTAGCAGATTCCCAGGTTTTTCCCTTTGCTGCATCTTCTGGATTGCTGTTGCAGGCCATACATGGGGCCTTGGGGATCTCTTCCTCCTCATGGTGCCCTCATCCTCGCATCCCCATTTTCTGCTCAGCTTCAACACCTGCTAGTGGGCGCCAGCCATGGGTCGAGGGCTTTTTAGCTCCTTTTTCTACCAAGCTAAGTCCAAAATCCTTTGGAGCAGCCAGGCTGGAAGGACCTCTCATGTTCAGAAGGTTGATGAAGATGAAGGGCAGTAGATCCTTGCTGGGTGACGTGTGGTTGACGTAGATGTGAGTTACAGACCCCATCTCTGTAGGTGCCGGTGCCAAAAAAACGGGCAGCAGGTGAATATGGTTGAAGGTCACCATGGTGGGGAACGCATGTCGAATGTCACTGTTGTCCCCCCTACCTGTGCAATTGGAGCCCAATGGGATCCCTATGAGATCTGCTCTGTTCAGAACCAAAGCAGGCCACATAAGACCTCCATGGGCTGGTGAACCACCAAGCCATGGTACATCCTCATCTTCCTCGGACATCCAGCGAGGCTTTTCCCCAGCGTGGCGGTTTCTGCAGTGGACCCAGAGGTGTAATGAGGACTTTGCCAGATGTTGCTGCAGGAGGGGAAGATCTCCGGTCTTAGCACAGCTATTGGCTCAAGAGGACAAGAGGACCTTGGGCCTGGTCCGTGTTTGGGGAGAAAGCCTGAAAATCCACACTGGACCTTACTGGAGCAGCACCCTCATGAGACCCAATTTGAGAGCAGGTGGGATGTGTGGACCAGACCTGGCCTTGCTGTCCAGGGAAGGAGCAGTTCTCCTGCTGGAGCGGTCTACAACAGGGCAGGCAAAGTGGATCAGGATCAGAATCCCTGGGTGGGATTTCCTCCTGCCAACGGGCAGTGTCCGTGGCTGGGATGCCCACATGGACCTCTGGTAAATGCAGATGATGCTTGGGGTGCCATTCTGCCGACTGCCTGCAGGCCTCTGCTTTGGGATGAAGCAGATCGTGGTCTCCCACTCCCCTCCATATTGGCTACCATCATGGGCTTCACAGCATCCTGAAGGACGCCATGAGGAGGTACCAATCCACGCATTAAAGGTTCGTGGGATTCTCACAGAAAACGTCGTCTCCATCCATCACACAACTGGATATGGCCTCTGGCTCTGGAAGACCCTCCGACTCATGGCTGGGAGGTGGTGATGGCCATGGGAAGCATCACCCTGGTGGCGCTGCACCCATGGCCGGCTGGTTTCCCAAGTTGGGGCTTTGTTAATTCTGCTGGAAACGGCATCTCAGACAAGCGTCCTGGCCTACCAGCTTGGGTCTCGCATGGCCGCTGGGTGTAAGCAGCCAAAAACATCTGCTCTTGAGACCACCGGAGAGATGGGTCCAAGGGATGGAAGACACCATGCTCTGGGGCTCCTTGTGCGACCACTGCCCAAGGTCCTGTGCAACACGTCCATGCTGGGGTGCAACACGTCCATGCTGGGATGCAACACATCCATGCTGGGATCTCACCTGTTGCCCAATCCTGTGTGGTGCCCATGGTCCCGAGCACCCACTGTGCCTTGGAACTTGGGACGGATGGGAGGCACCAGGGTGGGATGAGGTGAGTTGAGGTGACCCTGAGGTGATTAGGGCAACAGAAGCCCTCGTTCACCCGGGGAGCTGCCTGCTGCAGGATTCTGCAGAGCTCACAATTTATCCAGGTTGAAAATTCCATAGGGAAAAAAAAATAAAAGGATGGTTGTGGATGCGATTGGATCCGTTTTTCTTCCCCACCACAGGGTTACATGAAGCCCCTGAAGCAGCCCGAGAACTCGCTGCTCTGTGACCCCTCGCTGGTGGACGAGATCTTCGACCAGATCCCGGAGCTGCTGGAGCACCACGAGCAGTTCCTGGAGCAGATCAACGACTGTGTGCAGAACTGGCACGAGAAGCAGAAAGTGGGCGACCTCCTCGTGCAGTCGGTAGGAGCAGCTGACCCCAGGCCTGTCCTTGTCCCCGTCCCTGTCCCCATCCCATCAAAGCGCACCAGGAGCATGAGAGGCGGTTGGGAACCAGGGGGCAGGTTGGACCAGGTCTTCCCTGATCCCCTTATGGTCAGGGAGTTATTCCAAGCTCTGGGATTTGGTGGGGATAAGAAAGACTTAAAGCTTCCCCAAACCAAGCAGTTGGGAGCTTCCCAGCTCTGTCTCCCTGTCCAGTGTGGCCAATGTCCCCTCAAGCCTGGTGTCCCTCTGGGACCAGATGCTCTCTCTGAACGGGCGCACGCAGACGCAGCCCCAGCAGGGAAGATCTCTGAGCAAGAGCAGGGAAATGATTAAAGGATGGGGGGAGAAAAAAAAAAAAAAACATGTTTGAGGTGGAGGGCGAGAGACGATCTCCAGGCCCTTGGTCTGCTTAGCTTAACGGCGAAACGCCCCAGCCAGCCGCTGGGGCCTGCC